GTAGAATAGTTTTTACTTCCTTTGGGACAGAAATGTATCAGCTTTGGTTTTTTATTTTCATAAGGAAATGCTTGAAGGTCCAGCATTGCATCAGGTTGTATATTAGCACTATGTAATCGTTTTTCTGCTTCTTACATGCAATCGATAAAAACTAAGCCACTTTGGAACAGGAAAACCCCTTTTGAATTAGAGTCTGAAGTGTCTAGTCTATTGTTCCTGGAACACCTTTACTGAGAAATGTAGAAGGTTTGAAAACGGAAGTTTGAAGACAATTTCTTAAGCAATTGCAATTCTTTTATTTCCTGAAGAAGTGTTATTGTGTTTCTGTTTAAATATAAGCTTTAAGATTGTTAGGTAGGGTCACTTATTTTTCTTCTAAATTTGTTCAACTGTATCTTTTCCATTTCTGCTCAACAAAAAATGCTTAAGTATCTGTTCCAAAAGGCAGAGATGAAAGTGTCCATTCTGCAGTATTTAGCCGTCCATTTGAGGATCACTATTTTCACCTTGCTTTTAGCAAAAGCAATGACAAAACTGACTACTTCCAAAGAACACAAAACAATATCTAATTTATTCTACAAATTATTTCTGGTTATGCTAATCTCAAGTATTTATTTATATCTAGAGCAGGGCCAAACTCTGAAACAGATGCCTAAAGTTTTTTTTAAACCATTTGTATGTACTAGGAAATCCTAATGAGTTTTGTATGAAAACAGATGTTTCTGGATAAATAAGCCTTTTTGTTTGTTTATGCATGTTTCACCAAAAAAATCTGTTTAATCTGTTCTTAAAACATTGAGCCTGAAAAATGGAGAGGTTGGGACGAAAGGATTTGCTGGGCCTTTTGTCTGAAATGCACCTAGGTTGGATTGTCTGTTCAGGGGGCTGCTTAGCGTTTAGGAGGGGGAAAGCTATTGTTTAGTTCAGGTATGAAAATGTGCAATACTTTATATCAATTATTTGGCTGATTGCTGAAAGTGCGTTGGAGTGAGGGGGCATTGGCTAGTTCTGGCCTTCGCTAATGGGAACATTTCAGAATGTGGATGGTAATTAAAGTATAGAATGCGGAAAATTAGGCAAAATTGAATAGAAATGAATAAGTATGTGTTCTGTTGTGCAGATGTTGGAAAAAGATTATTTTGGATACCTCTTTCTATCTACATCTTATTTGGTTACCATGTAAAAATCGGTTGTACACCATGCAGATTGTTTCTCTTCCCATTGCCTTTTCTGTTTTTATGTTGTGATGTATCTGTATAGGTAGTAATTTAGCAAAATATCCTGTCTGCCAGGTGTGGGAACTAGCTGATTGTATTGTAATACCAGATCATTACTTAATTCATATGCAACCTAGCCTAGCACATGGAAAGCATTATAAATCTATTTACAGTGTGGCTGGTCTGATGATAACATTGTATTAAATTCCCAGGTGAGGCAATTTAAGCAATTGCTTTGCCATGTGTAGGCCATGGAAATTAACTTCTCATATGCTTTAGTAATAGACGAACTTCATTGGTATGCTCAGATTAGTAGTATAGCAGAATTCTTACAGTCTGGTTACATGTACCCTGCTTCACATGTAGAATCATACAGGGGGGTGGTACTGCAGATCACAGATCTTAATTAGTTTAAGCTGAGTTAATTCATTTCAATTCTAATTTAGCTGGGCTTGCCCATGAACACATTCAGTTCTATTGGGAAATGTTAAGGCTTGGGTCAAGTAGACAGATTGTTTAAAGCCAAATTGCCAGACAGAACTGAGCAAGTGTATCTGTTTGAACAGGGCTTTAAGGAAATCACCCAATCAGTATGCAAAAATCCTGTTCATAAACCAAGAGAGATCTGCCTGGAATCAGAAATTCTTCCTTGTCAGAAGCTCTGGGTACTGTAACACACTTAAAACAGCCCCTGAAACTTTCCCTGTCTTTAAGTTCTTGTAGAAAGTGGCTTAACCCTTTTGTGTTGTCGTGTGTTTGTGTGCATCTACAGTTGAATACAAACACGTACACTGAGTTAAAAACACTTGTGTGCTTAGACTTTTTGTCTGTGTATATACAAGAAAATATAAAATACAGGGAAAACTTCTATATATGGCAGACCTTTAGAGACAAAAAAACTGCACACACAACCTCTGAAACCTGTATTGAGCTGCCCAGAAATGCCTTGGATTACAAACTCTGTAAAGCTTCTGTCTTTTCTAGAAACATACATATAAAGTACCAGTAGACAGTGGTAACTGACAACTAAGACTAAAAATGTTGACAATTTCTTGATTTGCCTGGTTAGCTTATGTATAGAAGTCATTAACTATTTATAAAATGCATTATGAATTGGGTTCCTTCAAACTGTAGCAGAGTGTGTGACATTTCCAGCTCAAACTATCATTCTTGTGTTTGGCTAAAGTACATATTTATAAACAGCTGGTAGTTATGAAGTAAAAAGAAGTCTAAAAATTATTTAATTATTGAATTCAGACAAACTGAACTAATTTTGATAACCACATTTAAAGGTGTTAGCCAATATTACTTTAATAAAAATCAGAATAGTAATTCAAGATATTGATATTTTGGACAAATGCTGAAAGAACAAACGAACACTTTAGTTCAAAGGCCTTTCCTTTTATATTATTGATTCATTTGGTAGTGAAACTGTGATCAAAAGTAGTATCAAATTATTTATTGATTACGGCAAAGAGTTATACCTAATTGTAGTCAAAGGGTTATTTCTTTTAAAATAATTGCTGATTTTTAGATCATGACAGATTATTGCAATAAAAGAACAATGATACAAATATATTTATTAAGTTTAGTGGTGGTGATATAAAGGATTGTAAAGGGCCTCTAAAAATTGTATTGCTATTAACATTTATATCTTTCCTGTGAAGAATATTCTTTTTGCTTTCTTCCATGCAGACCCTTATGAATGAGAATATCAGCCAGTTAAATCTTTCAAATAAATCATGTGTAAACAAGGACCATCTCAGACTCTACATATAATTAGGCAACTTGTTCACTGGAGAACAAGCTCATGAAGCATCATGCTCCTCATCTCAGTCTAATAATGATAAATACATTCAACACTGACGGAATCAATGGGGCTGAATCATTTTATGAAATTGGGAGTAAACAGTTGAACTACTAGACCTCAAATGGGAAGATTGAATCTTAATCAGAAAAGAAGATTAGATATATATTGGTATATATTTATAATTTCTGTCCTTGTTTGATGTGTATCAAACAAAAATAGGAAAATAATATAATTGAGCAATCTATGCCAATTTGTTGGCTTTTTGGTGAAAAAAGAGAAAAACAAAACCTATCTCCATATGATATTCTTGCATACTGTGGAGTGTTTTAGTCCCCCATAGTGATGAAATGAATAATTTAAACAGACAGCTCTGATACCACAGCCTGTTTAAAGGTTCTCATTTCCTTTAATGCTGTAGACTACTTCAGCTTGGTTAGTATGAAACTGTGACAGCTGAGATCTCCAAAAGATTTGGCACAATTCAGCTCTTGTAGTAGGTCCTTGGTATGCTTTGTCCTTGCTACGTGCATCTGTAGCTTTAGTATATAATCTAGATCTGAACACTAGCAACTGAATCACAAATTGGTAAGCATCGTGATGATGTTGATGGTAATAAAGGGTGTATTACACAGGATAAAAAGCTAAACTGTGCTGCTTTGAGATGACCAGTACAAGGCTTACTCCACTGCTAGGTTCCTAGCATAAGGGGTGACCCACATCCAAACTTCTTTGTCATAAAGGTAATGAATTTCCCTGTGCTCAGTATAATTTCTCATGGGTTGTTTCCTGTGCCCCAGTCCCAAGGACGTTTTGTGTTTCCCAGTCTCAAGCATATTTTGTGGCATGATTGTCCAATTAGGGAAGATTTGAGGAGGGATTTGGTTTTACTGAGTTCCTACTGGTAGCAACTACCACAGCAGTGTGAGGGATGCTCCCATCAATAAAGGAAGGCTCTACAGTTTGTTCTTTGTACTCTTGGATTTCTTCCTCTGATCAAGTGTAAAACTTACCATAACCAAAGTCAAATATAAAAAGATTTTAGGCAATATGTTAAAAATCCTTTCTTTCTTTTAATGGTGAGTGTAGGAATATAAACTAAGGGCCTGTTATGTGGCCAACAGAGAAACTGAAAGCTGGGCTGATGTTCTCTTTATGGACTTCCCTTTTGTGCCACTTTGGTAATCTTCAGACATTTGCTTTCCATTGCTCAGCATTTGATCTAGTTTAGAAACAACATGATGATCAGTTCACTAGCAAATCTGGTGCTCATAAGCTGTGAATAATGATGGTCATAGCAATCTAATGAATATCTCAGTTTTGTGGTGTTCCCATGAACTGCTGTAAATCAGTGTACTCTTGTTTTCTCTCTTTCCTTTTGCACTTTGATTTCTGGTCCTTTACCACTAGGCTTTCATAACCTTAGCAGCACAGAAAGCACTTGTTAATTTTCTGTATCTTTAAGTTCAACCAGGTTTTTTGTGTTGTTCAGCTTTTGTTGGTTTTTGTTTTTTGTTGTTTTTTTTTTTTATATAGGAAAAGCTCAGTCATCTTTCCCTGCTTAATGGCATCACTGCAGCATTATGCTGAGTTCTGCGTCCAGCTAGCAAGTGTTCTTGAGAAAAATACATTTGGTTCCTACACAGGCCTTTCTTTAGTGCTTCTGATAGTAGTGTATATTGCCTCTCCCGGGTACCTGATTGTCAGAACTGGGATCACACATTATGTATCTTGAGCTTCACTGCAGCTGCTTTTATTGCTGAAATGTTGAGGATGTGACTGTCTTAGAAATGCTAAGGTTTTGCCATGCAGATTTGTCAAAATACAGCAGTTGAAGAACTTTTTAATAACTTGCAGATTTTTTTTTTATCAAATAGGTATCCATTAGGGGGCTCTCGAGGTTTAAGATGATCAGCCTTGATGCCAATGGCTTCGGAGCTTTACTTCCTAACCCTTTTTTTCTTTTTGTTTTACAGAAAAGGTCACGAATCGCCTACAGTGATGAGGTGCGGAATGAGCTCCTAGGGGATGACGGGAATTCCTCAGAGAACCAGGTAGGATGCTAATCAAGAAGCCCTAGTGGGTGGCTGGAGGGTGAAGGAGGTCACTGGCACACTGGGCTTCTCAAGCTGCTCCTTAACAGCATTAGCAACAACTCATGTGGAAGTGATACTGTTTAATGCAAAGCTGGGGTCTTAATCAACTTCAAAATGTTTCTTGGAGATCTTACATTTAACCCTTTAACTTGTGATCACTGTCTGCTATCTTAAAAAAAATCTTTTCTTCTCATTTCTTTATTATTTAGTACTTAAGAAATAACTTGAAACGCGCTGTTTGCCGACAAAGCCAAGGTCTTCACCTCAAACACATGTAAAAGGAATAAAAAAAGTACATAATGCAGCTTTGATAATAATGCAGTATAATTAAATCAACACTGGCAGGCAAAACAAATGAAAGTACGCTCTCAGAATTAGGCAGTACCCCACTCAGTTTCCTTGTGTGATTCCTTCCCTAAACAGATTTTCCCTCCTTGTACCAAAACCACAAGTTATACTAATAAGAGCATGCTTTCATAATGCATCTTGTACTAGAATGCAGAGTGCTGTCCACCTCTTCTAATGAAGGAAAGCTTGATAATCCTGAGGCCTTTTAAAAATCTTGTACCCGTATTGTTGTTCTGGACACTACAGTGAGGATCCTGCTAGACTACTGAAAATTAGAAAGGCAACATTATATTTGGGGGACTTTGACCCACCTGTTAATATTTCTTTTGGTGCTGGAACTTGTTTGACAAGCTCTGCCTGAAAGCAGAATGTTTCTTTTCTTTCTGGAAATCATGTCAGCTGTAATCAAAGTTGTGCATTTTGAGTTAGAAGTTAGTTGAAAATTTTTTAAGTATCAGATTTTCTCTTCTGGCCAGATAGAATTTAAATTCTTTTGGTAGTGAAAGTGGAAATTGTTTACATGTTTACTTGATAAGTGTAATATTAAATAAGGAAATGGATCAGAACCGTTTTCTGAAATTTTTGGTATATTCTACCCTCAATGAAAGCTCAGTTCCACCAAGGACAGAAAAAAAAGAAAATACTTGAAGACTACACTTCAATGAATTTTAAATCACAGACACCTTAAGCCTTAACCTTATATAGTATTTTAGATGTACTGTGTAAGTTTAAATGCTGTAGTAGACTTCAATACACACATTAATGAAATTGTATATGGTATGCAATTTATCTGAGAAGTAAGAGTGTAGTGTATAACAGCTCTAATATCTATGTGAAGAGTTAAATTTAAAAGATATTAATCTTCATATTTATATGTTATAGCAAGAGGAGATTTCAAGATCTGGATAAAATAAAGAGGGTGGTTTATCCCTAAATAATGTATTTATGGAAAGGATTAATTTAGGGAAGAGTTTCACAGTCTATGTGTCACAATCATAAACTCAGTCCTGTGAAAGTGTTAAGATTCTCATTTTATTTCTTTTAAGGTGCTGCTATTTTTACATTTCAAGAAAAAATCGTGTGAATTCAGACATAAAAGGGCAATTGTGATAAGAAGCTTTACTTATAACAGAATATCTTATATGTAGGGATGAGATAAAATATTTTATTTTCACTTTTTAAGGAATGGTTAAATAACTGGTTCACATGGTCCACTTTTTGCAAGTTATGATCTTTTTTTCTAAACTTGATGGAAGAAACATGATCTCATCTCAAGGAACCAAATTACACCTTCAGCCATTTGTCAACATGAGTTTTTTCTTCCAAATGACCACTGCTTACATGGAAGAAAATTCTGGCTGGTAAAGGAGTTTTATATAGTCTCCTAGGTAATCAAAATCCTTTTCCATAACCCAACTTGAAATTGTTAACCCTAATAATTTGAAAGTTCTGAATTTCTTTCTTTTCTTCCTTGAAAAATGTTACAAAATGTCACCGTAAAGGAGTCACCTAACTTCTTTTAAATATGTGAAGGCCAGTATTTTTAAAAAATATTGTTTATTGTGTTGTTGTAGTTATCAATCTCACAATCTCTTTTTCTTATGAAATATCATTATTTATATTTATACTCATCTTAGAGGCATGTAGTTATGGGTACAAGCAGTTCGTGCAAAAACTTCCGTCTGATGCTGAGCTTATCAGAATGTACAGCTATCCAAATCAAGTGTAAGGTTTGGGCACTTACCGTGCACTAAACATGTTATATTGATGTATTTAACTCAGTAACCCCAGTCTGATACACTTTCACTCCTATATTATATCAGTAGAAAACTTAGACTAAATGACAAAAGGATTCTCAGGTATAATTTACCGCCATACGAAATACTTGAAAATGTTTCAAATTCTTGCTTTCATTTTGTCTGATGGAAATATATATATAGGTAGATGGACTGATGCTCACCCTATTATAGGAATTTCACTTCTCAATCAGTTTGGATTAGATTAAATTGTTAAACCGAAAAATGGTGGGTTTGTTTTCCCCAATTCGGTCACCAAACTGTGAAAGGGGAGGGGAGAGGAGAGGAGGGATTCCTCTCCTGACAGAGGAGTTGATGAAAACAGTTGCCAGCTCAGAATTGCTTCTGTACCAGTCACAAATATTGATAAAATCTGCCAGTAGAAATGCTGAATACCTGGTTAGACTGTGATGTTACCCAAGGGAAACAAGAGATATGAGCTGCATGTTTTAGGTATGGTCTTTGTCACCATGATACATATTTGCATGATAGTTTTGGTGGAGTGAGAAGACAAAATGAACTTTATGTATACTAGCTAGTATGACCATCTTAAGTATCTAGAAATAATTGGGGCACTATTGGAAAAAGAAGCAATTTGGATTTTTTCTTTGTTCAAGTTGGGTTTTTTTTAGTTGAGTTTCAAAGGTACAATTATGGCAAACCGCAGCCAAGTTATAAGGTGTAATGAATAGGATCATAGGTATGAGTTTCCAGTTGTTCTCCCAAGAAGAAAGATTGAAATACAAAGAACAGATTGAAGAATTAGCAAATGATGATTTATCTTTTGTCTTCTTCATTTTTCCAAAATATGTCCCATAAGTAGCAGTCATCATGTGTAGTTGACAACTCAGAATACAGTTGCCATATGATTATACCAAGATTTAACTAATTTTACCAGGTGAAGTGTATAGAAACTTCTTGTAAGAAGTTTTAAGAATTATACAATTCTGCTATTCAAAGTTTCCTTTGAAATAAGCGCGTCTTTGGTTAATGAGATAGGTGGTGATATAGTGCTCTTAAAGGACTTAGAGTTTAGTAAATTCATTGCTTAGCATATGTTAATTTCTTCTTAAGTGAATCGTGTGAATGTAGTCCGATGAGGCACGTACAGAGGTTGAGAATCAGGAGACGTCCCTTCTCACATCAAAAAACCCCACCTCACAACCCCAAACCCAAAAACGTGCTGTTTGCATTGGATTGTTTTTTATTTTCCAGAGTGGTCTTAAACAGCTCTGTTGCTTTCAAGTCTTATTTGTCATTCTGGCCACCAACATTTATCAAATCCCTTGAAAGTTTTGAGGTTTTTCAGTGCAATGATACACTACTTAAAGTTGTGGCTTCGCTTTAATAATCATAGAACTGTTTTATGTGGCAGTTCATACTTTTTTAGAAAGTATTTGTTGGGTTAAATCAGAAATCGTTCTCAACCAAAATAATGTCAGGTACAGTGTTACCAACTTTCTTGAAATATAATAGTGTTCCTTTCTCTTTCACAACTGTGTTCATTAATATGTTTAAATAAATTCACATTAGGTTAAACTGCGTGCCTGTATGCTCATACATTGTATACGTGATTTGTGGTGAACAAATATTTTGTGGCTACTTAATTTCTGACTACAAAGTTGTTATAATATTAGATTTGGGCTTGCTGTGCATAAAGTGTGTCAAACTTCAGCTACAGACCAGGGGGTGAAGTTGGTCAATTTAATTCCCCAAGATCTGAAGAAGGTCGGTATCATTTCATATAGCCCTGGCAGAGCAGATCATTACCAGACACAAATCTGTTCGTTACATGCCGAGGGTTTATAGCAAAATAAATAGACTGTCATCATAAGTTCAGAAAATTGTGTGTTCGACCCACGATAATGTGTAAAGGGCGTTTAATAGAGTTCAGCATTTATTCGTTATCTATATGCGGACAGAGACGGCGGTAGCGTTATCAGCTTTTTAAAAAAAATTCGGTAGTTTTCTATGTCACGTGATGTGCCTCACAGACACACACACACGCACACACACACACACCCCCCATCTCGCTCCCTCGCTTTCTGCGGCGCAGTTTTGATTTTAGTCACAGCAGAAGGCTTAGCCACAAGAGATTCCACTGGTTCAAACCAGCGTAAACCAGATTTTTTTTTTTAGCCTACAAAGGAACAGATTACCTCTTGTATCAATTCTGTATTGCAAAATCAAAACAAAACGAAACAAATCTTTGTTTCAAAAATATGCTGATTATCATAACCTAAAATGGTGGCGGCACACGGCTTAATGCTGTTTACAGTTGAGCGGTGAGCATAATAAAAATAACGTTTCAAAATAGAAAAGTAAAGGTAGCACATTTTCATCAAGAGCATTGTTAAATGGTGAAAAATACATCTTTTGTTAATTTGAATGAATATCTTTCAGCCAATGTTAAGAAAAAAAAAAAACAACCCCTCTCCCATTACTTAGCTTAGCTGCAAATCCCATGCAGAGCTTAAATTCAGCCATGCAGCACAAACAAGATAGAACATTTTTGTTTGGGACCTATTGAAAAAATAAATGTGCAGCATTTTAAAACTCTCATTGATTATAGCAGGGTGGCATGCCCAAACGGGCTCTATTGCGGGAGAGTAGTTTTAAACTTTGGCCCTTTAAGTATCATAGTCAACTGAAGAATGGTGGCCTCAGAAAGAAAAGATAGCTATGTGATCAACTCCCAGATCGTCTCTTTCTAAAGAGCCTTAATGTTTGCCTTTTTTGGGGAAAAAAGGGGGGGAAGATCCGGAGAAAGAGACCAATTTATGATAGGCCAAGCACTTGAATTTAAGCGCTGGTTTGGCGGACAATGCAGTTTTCTTTATACCAAATTCTAGCAAAGTTGCTTTAGCTACGTACTGAAGAGCTGTTTCAGTTTAAGTCCTGTGGTAGTAGCCCTCCTAATTACATCTCGTTAGAGCCTCGTTGTCCGTTTTGGTAACGGGGTGAGGCGTAGTTCAGTTTTAGATGAGCCATATGAAACAACAGAGAATAATGGAGGTTCTTTTGTTTCCTTCATGCTGGCGAGATTTTATTAGTAGTAAACATTCTCAGCTTACACACGTGTTGAAAATTAGTGTTATAAAACTGTAGGTGAAGTATCAGGATAAACTGAGATAATGATGTAGCTGTTGTAATTTCGAATTCAGCTGGAATCGGTGAGAGAACCGTAATTTTTTTATAAAGAGCCACTCTTATGCAGACATTTGTTGTGAGTAATTATGCGTTTTGTTCCAGTACAAATAATTTATCTATCCCTCTAAGGGCAGGGCATATTACAACAGAGCTTGATAATCAGACTGGGGTTTTATTTAGTTTTATAGTAAACCTCCCAGAGCAATATTATTAATAGTGTTTAGATTGTGTTGATTTAGAAGCATAAATTGATAAATATAAATGTATATACTGTATAAGTATACACATACACACTATGTGTGCATATGTATACACACTGTAGTAGTTTAGGATTAAGAACCAGGAATGAGTCTTTTTGGAGGGAAATATGTTTCACGTTGTTCCCTATTCCTTTGTCTATTTTTAAATATGCTGTGCAATAAATCATAATTCTGAGCCATTTAGCTAAGCTGCTTTATTTTTTTTTAACTGCGAAAAAACCCTCTATGTGAGGTTCAATAATAAAATTAGATAATATAGTTCCACTAGAACTCAGGTATATAAAAATTGAAATACTGGTTACATGCTATAAAGATGCAGTCATCTATTAATAAGTTAGATCTGCTAGTAAAATAAGAAATCAGTTGTCACAACTAAAATATACAGAAAACATTCTGAAAACTTGTATATACAAAACCACTTCAGCTGTACAATCTTCGAAGAGAGGAATAGTAAACTTGTTTTTTTCTTTATAATATAGACTTCTATGAAGTCATTCCCCTTTATTTCATGATGGTGTCTTAGATGTGGTTTAAAAGAGAATTTCACACTATTCTCTTTGTTTAATGTGACAGTGTGAGAAAGTGATCTTTATTCGTTCAAAAAACTCTGCATGTAGTCTATGTTTAGGTTCTTTTAATGTGTTTGTCTGTGATTTTTAAATGCTAAACATGTAAACAGATAAATTGTCAATGTTAATTCTGTATCCTGTCACACAACTGATCTTTCTTTCCTGCCATTTCTTTCCTTTTTATCTTTTTTGTGCGTTCATGTTGCAGTTGATAAAATTACGTGAAGAGGTGAGTACTTTCTTGCTTTTTGTTGTCTAGCTTTCCTTTAAAGCTGAGTTTCTAAATCTGAAGTAGATCTTTTTGTTCATTGTTGCAGGGAAATCTACACAAAGCAAAAATATTGATTACATTGCTTTAAAATATTCACTGTTGTGCCTCTTTTTCCCTAATAATTGTATACTTACATAGGAATCTCTAGATCAAACCTTAGAAATTAACATTCTTTGATAGTGGAAATTTTTTTAAAGGCACTAGAGAAAGGGGGAAAAAAAAACCCTATTATTTGATCTCTGCTAGAATACCAGGATCAAATCAGGTACAGTAACAGTCATATTTGCATCACAAAATCTTTGATGGGGTAAATACATTTATACACTGGTACTGAAAGTGAAAGCATTGCTTTGGTAAAAACCTGTGCTGAAACACTGTAAAAAATACACAGTATTTCACAACATTTTGAGTTTGCTATGAGGTATTCAAGTAGCCTATGTACTATATTGGATGTTGTATACCCTCTGAAAATACAGTACAGGTAGACCTACGCACACATATCAATATTTATTATTTATTTGTGAGTGCTGTAGATCTGTAGGTGTAACACTAGAGATCAGTATTCCAGAACACCTTTCTTCCAGTTATAAAATGACTCATAAATATTTAGAGAGAGAAGCCTGTTTTAATGGTCAGTTCCTCAAATGTTTCAGTATATTTTCTGAAATTAATCTCCTCTGTTACTTACTGCTGTAGCAAAGTAGGTATCTGAACTGCTTTTTTAAATTATTTCCTGATAGCCACCAAAAAGAAGATCTCAGTAAAGTCAATATTACTTATAGGTCAGATTTGAGAAGGGTTTTGTACGGAGACTTTGAACCAGTGAAGTATTGGAATAAATATATTTAGAAGCACGAGTATTTTAACATCACGTATTTGTCTGGTATCTTTTTTTTGAAACATGTGTGCCTAGACATATCAGTAATGAATACTGAGCTCTGCAGGAAAGGATTTGTAAGTTTTAGAAATGGTGATGACAAAGAATTGTAAAGTAACCAGATTATGGACAATTACAGAGAGTTCTTAAAAACAGTAAGATATTTATGATATAAAGATTCTTTCACTAGTTCCCTCAATGCTTTGTTTTTCCCTCTCCTTGTAGAGCTAATATTGTTAAAGCTATAGAGTAAAACAGTTAATAAAAAAAATTAAACAAAATAAACATGTAACCACATGAAAGCCCTCCCATGACTGCTGAGGTCCCCTCCCCAGTAGTCCCAGTATTTGAACAGATGACAATATTGTTGCAAGGGTTTATACAGCCTGATTTCTGAGATTTTTCGGAAGAACAAGGTTCATTTGCTCATCCCTTTAACAACACCTGCACGTCTGCTCCTGTGCTTTTGTAAAAGAATGTAATGGGATCTTTTTTGCTTACAAACATAGATTGCAGTTCTATAAACATCAAGATTCCTAATTTGTAAATTAACTCTGAAAAGAACAAAGCTGCTACTTCTCTTTTTCTTTTTGTAATAGCTATGAAGGCAAATAAGAAAACTCAGGATGTTATTGCAAAGGGCTGCAACTTGGGAGCTATACTGAACTCAGTCATACCTTTTGGAGCATATAAATCCTCTTTTTTAGCCACCTAAAAATTTTGACTTTGGTTCTGGTAATTTTCTTGTTTGCTTTTCCTTGCTAGCCTCATAAGTTACTTTTTCCTCTCTCTGCATATTGTGAGAGCAGCACCAAATAGAACTAAATAAAGGGATTATTTTGTCTAGATGAAAATTGTACAGGTAGAGAGAGAGAAATAATTTTAAAAACAATTGTTAGCATTCTGTTCTCTGCACTTAGGTACCCACTATGTGTTGGATAGGTTGTAATTGCAATGGTGTTTTTATACCCAATGCAAAATGCACATTAAAGTTTAAATGAAGGGTAGTACAATGACTCAGGCATAATTCTTAACTTGTCACATAGTGAAACATCAAGGCATCCCCAATTATAGTTCTCCTAAGGAGGTATGAACTGATCTTAAAAGAAATTGTGGCTTGCCATACTGTTTGTTAATAAAACCTGTGCTTCCTCTCATTACAGGGCTCTATGCTAGCACACTTGCCGTACACAGGCTTCCATGGAGGCTGTGTTGCTCTGTCTTTTGAGCTCCTGAGATCTCAGTTTGAATCCAGCCCACATGGAATGACTAAATCTCTAGTGATAGCATGCCACTTTGCAAAACTTCCTTATATAACTCCAGATAGAAGCTGTTTCTGAAGCTGCAAGACGCACTGAATCACCTCACTACCCACCTCACAGAGAGCAGGGGATACTGTGGGAGAAGGAGTTTGGGGAGGGGTGGGAAGCAGTTGGAAGCATCAGCTGCTGCTGTAGGGCACTGATTTCGTGACCAAAGGACAGGGTGCCTCCAAACCCAACCAATGTAAATAACACCACCCTTTATCATAAAAATTAAATTTCCTTATAGAATGGCTTGGCTGGAAAGATTCTGAAATCGAGTAAGAAACAGCTCTGAGTGAATGTTAGCACTGAGTTCATTTGGCTTCAGTGTTATAGGTGCTCGCAGTAAGACTGAACTGAGCTGTGGGCTTGTGATTTACTTTTTAGATTAAATCTGGCTTATATAGTATATACAAATATACAGTTAAATGCTAATTCCTTCTGTTGAGTAGCTATTCCATGTTGTAGTGTGAAATCTGATTATTTCCCCTTCTCTCACTTAACATAGCAGGATATTCTTTTCATTTTCAGTATACCACCACAGCACTATACATCTGTTCTGTAGTTATAATGTTCTGCTCCTTGTGCTCACTCCCAGCCTATGTTAGGTTTTTTTTAAAGTATCTCCTCTCTAACTTTTAGGATTCTTACCTTCTAAACTCCTTCTTTATATTCCCCTCCCCACCACTTTCTCTTCTACTTTTCTTTCTTGAGAGACATCTGTGTAATAGTGTTAGGTTTCTGATGTTTTTTACAAAGTTTAAAGTATTTAACACTAGTTGTTCTTTAATATCATTCGGGGGGGCAGTATTTGGAGAAAGGCACTGCAGGCTTACACTTCTTTTTTTTTTTTTCTTCTAATGGGCAATGGAGAGGAACCAGCAGGTGTTATGAAAAGGTGCCTTTTAAAAAAAAATTAAGGAAAATTAACACTAATTATCTAGATTGACCATGAATACTGAGAACATGCACCGCTCTAGTTGCTGTCATGATTTCAATTACAGCATTGTAACTTATGGTTTTATATTTTATTAAGTGCTTGTGCTGATTTCTTTTTTTTCTTGGTGGCCTGCCCCACATGAATGCAAAAGGCTTTTTTGCAATTTACTCTTAACCTATCCGCTGTGTATTAGACAACTCTATTAATTATTATAGACTGTTACTGCAGCTTTCCTGACCTTCACATTGGGTCCTATCTGTGCTGATCTAAATGCATTGTTTTAATGATTTCCAAAAAAAGAAAAAGAGAGGAAAAAAAAAAAAAAACGAAAAAATTCAAGGCAAGCTTTGATGTGGCTTTAGCTGCCTCGATCGTCTGGCCGCATCTCAGAGATGTGTCACCTATGCCGGGAGGGAATAGGGAAATCACGTTTTGAATGGTAATGATAACATACTAATCACTTCCTTTCTTTGAAGATAGAAGCGAGATATTCTGTCAGCATCCCTGGCTGCTAGAGCTTGGAGGCACTGGTCTAGGTGTATTAGCTTAAGTGTGCATGTCAATACAGCTTGCATCTCCCAAGATCCATAGGGGCTCATTAGAGCAAGGTAGATCGTTTCGGTAGACAGCCACTCAGATAATATGTATGGCACCTCCTTTTTTTATTATTATTAGAAAGCATTTCTTCAATTTTAAAATGACATCTGTCAACAAGGCAAAGTTGTAGGAAATATTTTTTGAGAAATATCCAAAATGTTGGGTTTGGGTACAGGGGTGCTCGGAAAGGTGTATGTGATTACTTTACTCGGGAGGGGGGAGCTTATGTTTTTTGGTGGCTTGATTAGAGCTAGTCTAGGATAAGATTTCCAAACAAAATGAGCTTATGTTGAAATGTTGGCATTTTGGATGGAGAATAAACTAAGGAAAATAACAATTTCACTTTTTCACCATTACTAACTCCCCAAGTATTGTTATCTCATAAATGGGCAAATGATTTCTGGGAAAAATATCTTATACCTGCATGTTTGTATATTATTTATATATTCATATATATATTTAGGCATAAGAGATGTAAATCAAGACACCAGTGTTTTGTTTCTACATCTTTTTACATCAAACAGTCTGAAGAATATTCATGCTGTTCAGTATTCTGTATGAATAGCTCGTTGTTTTTATCACCTCACTTGAGTAGTACACATAAAGGAAATATATCCTCTGCTGAAAATTAAGTTCATGTTAAAAACTACCACTTGCATTTAAAATGATGTTTTCATCAAACTGTAGTTGAATAGAAATCATGGATGCTTGCATACATGTGTCACAGGGAAATCTATTTTGGAAATGCTCTTCAGACAGGTTTCCCTTATAATAGTCACGTTCTGTTTTGTGGGTTCATGTAATAATAAGAGTGAAGCACATATTCCACGTTTCAAAACAAAAATGATTGGTACACATAATTATGATTGATGATAGAACCTGCCCCTTCCAGTGGTCCTTGTAACAGGCTCTTCCATAAAATATACGTGGGTATTTTTATGTTGTGGAATATGAAAGCACAATTAAAAAGGGGGGGAGAACATTGTAGACTGCTGCCTGATTTATTTTTTTTCTCTCTCTCCCCTTTTCTTTTTCAGAGGGCACATCTGCTCGATAACACAGAGAGGCTGGAAAGGTCATCTCGGAGACTAGAGGCTGGATACCAAATAGCAGTGGAAACCGGTAAGAATTCTGAGAGTGAGCAAATTGTCTTGCTTATGCACAGCAGTCTTCACAACACATGACATTTCAGGGAAACTTCAAAGGCGAAACAGAGACAGCAGCCCGAGATGTGGTTTACATATTGGGGAGACAATTGGGAGCTTATTTGCGCTTATCTTTTTTCAAGTTAAAAGGCATGACATCTACTGAAAACAGTTCCTGAGGTTTAAAAGTATACATCTGAAAAGAGATGGAATACTTTGTCTAAATTCTACATTTGTCTTAATATGCAGTTACATGTTGTCAGTTTACCCACCCGCAATGATTGCTAGCACACACTGCAGACTCCAGTTGTTTTTGTCTTTTACTTTTATTCATATATGTAAAAAATATCATTTTAATAAATTTATAAGGTATTAACTACAGATAATGTATAAGAAGGTTATCAGCTCAATTTTCTTGCAATCAGTTCAGTGACTGATTATGCAGCTGTTTCTGTGCAATGAAAGAAATAAACCATACCCAAAAATATACAAATGGAATAAAATTAAGGGAGAAGGCTAAACTGAGGCTCAATTATTGACTTAGTGGGGTTTTTATTGACTACAACTTTTCAGTGGATATTTTCAAATTGTTTTCACTAAGTTTTAGCAATTTATAGTGGATTTTTTTTAAACCAGCTATAGTTAAGCCTCCAAAGTCTAATCCCCTTAAATAAAGCAGCACAAAGTTAGAGAAAGTTTCAGAAAATGTATGTTTGAGCGGTGAAGTAATTTTCTGGCAGAGTGTCCCAATTAATTAATATATTCCAATATCTTTCTAGAATTCTAGCCTTATTTAAGAGGTGAATTAACTTGAACCCTCGTAGAGTTAAATATGGCTACGTTGAATAGTATTACTAAAGTGCCTGCATTTTAATTGTTCTGGACTTAGTGTGCACAATAATGAAATGGATGTAGGGAACATACAGTGTAGATTTTGGAGGGGACAAGGAGGATTCATTCTCTTATGCCAGAGGATGACATGTTAGTAGAGATGGACATATAATAGCAATTTAAGTTTGCTTTCCTGAAGATTTTCAGGTCTGTTCTATCAATGGTCATAACTTTTTTTTTTTAGAAGGACTGTTTTAAACTGATCAGAAATGATTCCTTATCTGCTTTAGTTCGGCCTGGGTCTTTCACAAAGAAACAGTATATAAAATTCAGACTGATCCTTTTTGGGAAGAGTTATCTTATATCCTTTTTTACTCCGTGTGGAATTTGTTTTATAGAGATGATGATCATGTTAACTTCCATTGCATATCTCCATGGTGATCTCTGAGAAATATAGTTGGAGTGCAAATGTATATTTATGTGGAAAGGGTGTCTTTCAGTATCAAAACCAGGTGAAACTGCATTGAATTCCTTAGTCACACTAATTCACCCCATCTTTGTGTCCATCTTTACTTTTCATCTTGAGCAGTGATATATACATATC